GCGTTCAATCTTGATGTCAAAGGTTGAAGAGCTAGAGATAAAGGCAAAGGTTAGAGGAGATGTTAGAGATTAAATCTAGGTTGTAGAAAAGAGATTATAAATTAAAAAAGAGAATTGGATATTAGAGAAGATAAATCACAAATTTAAGCAACTGAGCCTAAATTTTTTTTTTTTTTCTTTTTTATATTTTTTAAGCTTTTGATTGGGTTGACCTATTCCAGTTTTCAAGTTAACTTTGATTTTCTTAAAATCATCCGAGTCAATCTAGTCCAAATGTTCAAATAGTTCAAATAATTGAATCAAGTTGTTGTATTGAACAATCAACGGTTGGATCGTCTAATTCAAATTTCAAAACACTGGTGCTTCACATGTGTTGATGTAGTTACTGGCATTCTCTTTTTAATTGATATAAAGAAACAACATTAAGTAGATTTTTATTTCACTAATAAACATATCGTGAAAGACTAACTATTGTGATCAAAATCAAAATTTGATCATTTTGTAACTTCTTTTTCAAAAGTTCTGTTAACAAGAACGATGGAGAATTATATCAGAAGTTGTCTTTGGAGTTCTTGGATGTTGAAGAGGTCAAAATCACGCGGTCAGGAATCAGCATATCAAATCGCACACAAGGGTCCATAATTGAGGAACTATACACGATGCAGTGATGATGGAAACTCCACCAAAAAAAAAAAGAAAAGAAAAAGAGATTCCAACATAATTCGTGGCACGAGAATATGGTGATTTGCGCGGCGACAGTATTTGTGTGTGTATGAGTGGAAAGATGGATTAGCATATATAAAACATGTCAAGGTTAGCTTCACCAAAAAAAAAAAAAAAACAAAGAAAGAAAGAAAGTCAGGGTTAGCTAGCGATTGATGTTATGTACTATGACTATTTGATGCATTTTCTATAAGAAAATGACTGGACAATATTGGAGGGATAAAATTCTTGCCTCGGCCAATTATGTTCAATATTCGGGCTTATCTGAAATAATGTGGTTGCGTTGTATTGCAGAAAATATTCTCAAACATATTTTTCCACTATACCAAACCCAGTCTATGCTTTTGCTTTTGCTGTGAATAGTTATAGAGTGCGCTTGATTGGTGACCTCGATCAGAGAACTACGTACCCGGACAGGAAATTTTCTCATGGCAAAATAATGAAAGAGAGACAGAGACCATTAATTTCATTGTTCCCGGTGACATTAACGAAATCAGTTATAAGCCATGCTGTAGACGATAAAAGGGTGTCTCTGCGTGTGGTATGCTTTAGATTTCGAAGGCATATAGTATCTATACAGCAATCCTAGTCTAAGCCTTGTCTTTCAATATTAATGCCAGTGCCAATTTCGTTCTCCTGTGCAACTTTCCATACTACTCAACCTGTAGTCAATCATATATATATATATATATATATATAAAGGAAAGACAATTATTAATTAATTGCTCAATTAATGCTGCTCAATTAATGCATACTCCACAAACGTTCGATTCTTTGTTCTCAAGCTAGTGCGGGAATGTCTAGCTAGCGTGCACCAAAAATGTACAAAGATGTGCGAAATTAATGCATCCAAGATGGAAAGGGCAGGCAGAGAAATGACAAAAAACTTTAGTATTGGCAAAGAGACGGGAAAATTTTAGATAAATCCGTGCACCATGTTATTCATAATACACTCAATAAAATTTTATTAATTTAATTAAATAAAATATTGTGTGTTATTATTTTTAATTATTTTATTTTTATAAAGTTAAATAAGTAAATTGACTCTTAAATTATAGATCAAGAAATATTTGAGATCATAAATTTATTTTCTATTTAATGTTTTCTTTTAATTTTTAAAAGATATAATTTGACCCATGTTATTAACAAAAGTTAATTTATGACTATTAGTTGGCAAACAAATGATAAAAAAAGGACATTAAAAATTATTAAAAATGCCCAAAAATTACTATAAAGGAGCAAAAAAAATGACAAACAATTATAAAAAAAATTAATGAGAAGGACAAAGAGAACTTTCTTGACAATTTTTTTTAATTTTTGACATTATATTTTAGTTAATTAACGGTCAAACCTAACATTTATTAACGTCAAAAGTCAAATAATATTGTTTTCAAATATTGCATAAAAGATCAATTTAAATTTTAAATACTTTTGAATTTATAGTTTATGAGCTAATTTATTTATTTATTTTTTTATAATAGAATACTTATTTAATTTATTACTTTATTGTCTATATTATTATTAATAGTAGAATCCATTTACATTTAATACTATTTGAATGAATGTCATATTTTTATTGTATGGATTATAAATTATATGGTGCGCCGGATTTGCCCAGGAATTTTTTCGGAGAGTCAAACTTGAATTGACTGTCTCATTTGTTACAGGTATGTACCATAGTCATGTAATACTTCTTCCGTTCCTGATAAATGCAAGTCTTGATAATAAAAATTACACACATCATGGAAGATTCCAAATCTATGTATTATGTAAAAATAATTTTTTTCTTTTTATTTTCATTCTCTATCCAGTGTCACAATGTTTAAACTTCAAATAATTTTACCTAAAATTATATCTATAAAATATATTTTTAGAAGCAAGTATTAATTATACTTAAAATTTATATTAAAAGTTATATTTAAAGACTCAGAACTTGAAAGGCTAAAAAAAAAAAAAATAAAAACCTGCAAAACATTTATGTTTAAATAAGTATTTCTTGATATATCTGTATTAAAGCCGCGAGTGCCTCATAAGATTTTTCAAGTATAACTAGAATTGATCCAAAATCAAATTATGAATTTGTTGATTCAAAATCAATTAAAACACGTCTTATATGAATTATAATATAATATATAGTACTATTATATTACAAAACCAGGCAAACAGACCCAACCGATGCGTTTGGGTGATAAGCGTTCTTGCATTTGATTAATTTTGTCAAGCGTATACAACGCAGGCATGTTTTTCGCCTTGCGTGGCACGAGACTACTACGTAGATATGGAAAATAATAAAATTGACACGTTAAATTATACTCTCTCCAATCATTTTTCAGAAGACCTTCCTCCAAGATCCTTATCATTAGTTTCTTTACAAGTTGTGGAAAAAAAAAAATCTCCTAAATCCCATCTATATTATTATTTTTATTGCAGGCATATGTTCTCTCATTAAAATCAATATTGTTCGAGGCATAGCACATACTAAATGCAAGTATGCTATAATTCTAAGAATTCAAATTTCAAAAGCATTAACTAATTTAACCGAACTTTTTTTATTTATGAAAAATTGTTAACTAGTCTGATCGGAGAGGAAAGTTTTTCTCGGCAGAGTCTCCCTGCTTGCAAGACAACGACTTGAAGGGCGAGGAATCGGATGTCCAATGGCAGTACCCTCTCCATGAAACTGAAAGGGCTGGAAACAGGACAATCCAGGAGACAAATTATAGAGGAGAAAAATTATTATTCTGGTTCCACTTTAGATTTCCAGGCAAAAGATAAAAAAAAAAAAAATCACTTTGTGCGTGGGCTCTAATTAAATAGTGACGTACCTACGTTTGAGCTGGTAGGGGCAATTGCCCCCATTATAAGCTAAAAAAAATTGCACATAATGATTCAAAATATTTCATTGTCTCCTTTAAAAAAATTTAATTGCCCTCTTTCTTTAATGAAAAATTTCAGTTTTCTCCTCAAAAGGTTTCCCTTATCTTTGAAAAAGTTCATTCAGCTTAAATCTTAACCATATGTTATAATGTTAAATAGATAGAATAACAATACTTAAAATATAAATTTCTTTAATTTTAACTCCCTTTAAAAAATAATTAATATTTTCTCCTTGAGTAAAATTTTTGTCCCGGCTATTTAATTTTTCTGGGTCCGGTCCTAAAATGTTTGGACCACTTTTGTGGCTGTCGCAGTCATAATATGTATGTGCATGTATAGCCGAGTGAATTTAAGTGACATGAGGGTGGGAGCTTCTGCGTTTTCTCAAATTGGCGTCCATAAAGCAGGGAGGGACCATTATTTGGTTTATGCCTTTTTGCTTTTTGTAAGGGTATCTTTCATGTAGCATCCTGTTTTTCTATTTATCATTATTCTCTTTATTAATGGGCCATAAATCGGGAATAATGTCACGACCATATTGTGATGACAGTTGTTAATCCCCGGACTTATGTGTTACTGTGCATCCAATTTTTTTTTCTCTACAAAATAAAAGCTAATAATATTTTTTTTGGCCAAAACAAGACAATAAAAACTAATAATATGACGATCCACATTTTGACGTGAAACCTAAGCGTTGGGCTTGCTGTGGCTGCTCAGTGCTGATGAAGGTCAATGGGCATTACTCGTCCACATGGTCGGCGCAAACCTTCCAAGGAGTGTATACCCAGATACTCGGCCCATGTAATCTTTACTGACTCTTACTATTCCACTCCCAACAACTAACTTTATAATCAAGGCATGTTGATTCAGATGGTAAGGAGTTTGAGTTTGAGTTCCGTTAATGATTAGCTCCATATTTGATCCTTGGGGCTACGAGAATGAATAAAATATGTTTGGAAGAGTCACATCTTTTAAAGCTTTAGTGTTTGAATTTAAATTAGTCAAATTGTTGGCTTTGAATATTGTTATGTGAAAAAAATAATTGTAATAACGTATGTTCACAGGAAGACTTTTACAAATAATTGTAAGTTATAAAATAATTTAGATGACGATAAATTTCAACGACATTGTACCGTGTTTCTACATTAAAACATTAAATTAAAATTAAAATATTCATATTTCTTGATCCCTATGAGTATTCATTCACCATCGATTTCAATGAAGATAAAATAAAGTAAAAATAATTAATATTTTCATTTTAAAATAACAATTATTTTAACGGGAAGGTCCGATTAAAAAATGGACAATTGAAGTTTTGCCGTGCTTGGCCCAAAAAAAAAAAAAGGCACATAAAGAAAGCAGTTTCTATCGTCAAGCAAATGGATTGACGATAAATTCAAGGCATAAATATATAGAAAAGAATCTCCAAACCTCTAAATTTGGGGATCAAGATTCAATCAAATGGGGAGTATGAGTCCATTGTGGAAATTCAGGTCTCGGGGGACAGGTATATAGAGGATCAATCCATGGGTGGTTGCAAAATGAAACCACATAGGGCCCTGAAGTTGTGACAATTTTGCGCGTCTTGGCGCGCTATGTCGTTAAAATCCCAACACCGCAAATCACCCCGTGGGCCCCTTTTCCATTCCCTCCTGCAGTTCCGTTTCCTCCTCATTGTCCGAGCAATCCCTCATCAGTCATCATTCACAGGAGCACCGTCCCTGGCAGAATTTGTGGATGCTTCTTCTCAATTTATCATCGTCTTTTTGGTCAGTTAATTTCTCTCATTTTCTATTATCACCCTTTTCGCATCGTTTTCTTTTCCTGTTTTTTTTTCCCCCAGGTTTCCATTATTTGTTGTTAGGATTTGGAATCAATTAGATGCAGCTTCCATCTGTTTGAGGAATTTCACCTTTTTGTCATGCCGTAGGGGGGCAATAGTGGTTCATTACCTGCATTCCATCTTCTTAGCAACCATGATAGTCGTTAGAAAATTCTCTCCTTCAAATGCAAGCTTGTCTTTTTATTTCCAGGTTCAGCGGGATAATCTCGAATTTCTTGTCGGTCTACCGTAAAGTAAGACCTTTTGAATATCAAATTGCAATTACAAGTTGCCCCTTATACGTGGGGCGGAGGGAGGAGGGACTGGTGGAGGCGGTTATTTATTTTTTTATTACATACTATGCATTCTCGACTTCATACAAAATTTATGCAGTCTTTATACTATATGCTTTTCAATTTTGATCCCTCTTATAACTAAATCTCTGCCCCTATCTGCATACCGACGAATTTCACTTTTTCCTATGTTTCTGAATTTTTGAGATATGTGGACACTATTGTTTAAACTGAAAGGAAATTTTCTCCTAATCTTTAGGGGTAAGTAGGGAGGAAAAATGGTTTATTAAAAATTTTAAATTTTAAATTCTTGAGAACTTAGGACCAAGAATTCCCTCAAAATTGTTGACGAAACTTATTGTGTAGAATCCAATTAAGCTATTATTCAGTCTTATTTATTATATATTTCCAAACTTACCCTTAAAAATTATGAAATAAAATCCAATTAAAAGAATATTTTTGTCTTTTATCTTTTTTTTTTGTGGGGCCCATGTTGTCTTTTAACGTTAAGAAGTAGAGTACTGTATAATTTAGACTTCTTGGGAACTAAAAAAATTTGAATGAATCAATCAACTATGAATTTTCCAAGACCTTTTTTGACACATACTAGTTTGTTTTCTTTCCTTTTTTTCCCCTCCTAGTTACTTATTACTAAACAAATAAAATGTTTCTTGTCAGATCTTCTTCTCATCCACATTTATGAATTCTGCCATCCTTATTTGCAGCTCTAAAAGTCAAAAGAAGGAGCCGAGAGCGAATTTGCAGCCAAGGTTCACACAATAGCTTGTTAATTTGTTTGAGGATTAGGGTTAGATGAAAGGCCAAGGTGGGAACTTGTAGTTGTTGAAATTCCTATTGACTCAATAAAGATAGGTGCATGTTCTGCTTATTGTAGTGTATGCACATGGCAAGTTGGCCGGTTGGCTGGTCTGAAATACAAGAGCTAGCTGCTAAAGTTGCCTGATGTAATTCCACATTCTGTCAGAGTCAAGCCTATGGCTATGTTGAATATTGTGCAGGAGATCGCCATCTATATTGATAGGTTTCACAATCTTGACCTTTTTCAGCAGGGGTATGTTTCCTCTTTTATTTTGTTTTCTATTTAACCTTAATTGATAACCTGATATACTATGATTCTTATAGATGGTATCAAATGAAGATTACTATGAGATGGGAGGATAGTGAATATGTCTCTGTTGGAACTCCAGCAAGAATTGTTCAATATGAAGGTAACGTTGTTAAGATTGTAAACAGTTTTGCTCATCTTTTTTCTGCGCCATCATCTTGTTTGTTTGATATCTGTGCAAGGGTAAAGTTATGAAACAATCTTCTTTTCCTATCAAAAATGAAATATGTATCCTACATAACAAGCTGGCGTAGAATGCTTGCAACTATGACAGACATCCTCTCTGAGGCAAAGCATCAATTTTTCAGTGTCTGTGAAGAGAGAGGGTATATGGTACACCCTAGAGTTCTTAATCCTTTTTGCATGTAGAAAGTATATCTTATTCAGGCATTGACGCCTATATTTTAACAAGAGTTTACCAAGGTGCCCCCTTCCCTTGGGGGATAAAAGAGCTTGCTGAGCAATTGGCCTAACGTTGGCTGGTATAGCCGTCTATATTTTTTCTGTTGTTGCCAGGGTGAGTACATTCAGTAGAAATTTGAAATCATATGTCTTTTCTCAATAATTTGTTTGAAATATAGGCGACAATATCTTGAACTAATATAAGAATGGTTCCTTTCAAGTAATTTTGTTGAATTTATTTGAGGTTGTGTTTTCTGGTGACGGGTTCTTCAGTAAGGTTGATAATATATTAAGGGGGAAAATAGTGACTTCTTGAATATTGAAGATATTGCATAACTATACCCCTTTGTTTATTATGTCCTCTTTCATTTTGTCTATTAGTTTGGTTGATAAGCTTGGGCATGCATTTAATTATGAGAGCAAATAATGATATGCTTGACTACGGAACTCTTTTCTCCTTTACTGGTGGTGTTGGACTAGTATTCTATAAGATGAAATGTGTTCTTTTCTGATGTGTAGAACAGAGAAGCATAAGAGGGACAAAGAAGAGAGTTTCTGAATGGTACTGAGGATTTCATTATGCATAAGAGGAATAAGGCACACTGAAACCCCTTTATATAGGTAGCCAACTGAAAACTAACTAACCAATGGCTCCTTATATTCATTCTAATTATTCTAATTACATGTCAACACCCCCTTAAGAACCCTTGACCTCAAGGGTTAGAAACTATAAAATAGGGATTTTGCTTCTGCAACTAGAACAAAGAGATCCAGCTGGGTTCTTCATCCGGAAGACCCTTCCATTGTACTAGAACTTCTGTAATGATCCTTCCCTTTCTTCTACCCATTCATTTATTCAATGTCTTTCTGGAATCAACTTTGAAGGAGGTTTAGGCCAATTTATAGGCAGATGCCACTGCTTTACAGAAGGATCAGGGCATAACTTGAGTAAAGAAACATGAAAAGTGGAAGGAACTCTTGATTCTGGAGGTAACTCCAACTTATGTGCCACTGGCCCCACTTTTTTACAAATTCTATAGGGTCCAAAATTCCATGGAGCTAATTTCTGGAGTTCCTTGTTGCTGTAAAAATTTGGTGATAAGGTTGCAACTTGAGGGACACCCACTGCCCCTTATCAAATTCTCTATCACTCCTATGCAAGTCTGCTTTTTGCTTCATTCTATTCACAGCCCAGTTGAGGTGGTATTTTCTTTCCCTAAAGCCTCTTCACATGCTAAAAATGTTCTACCAACAGCTTCCACAGCTGCATCTCTAGGTAAATAGGGAATATGCGTTGGTGGAACATGCCCCTATAATAATTCATAGGGAGTAGTGTTGGTAGAAGTGTGATAAGAAGTGTTATACCACTATTCTGCCAAAGATAGCCATTTACTCCACTCTTTTAGTTTTTCCCAGCACATACATCTCAAGTAATTCTCCAAGAATATATTGAGTAATTCTGACTGACCATCTATTTGTGGATGATAAGAGGAAGAAAGCTTTTGTTCAACCCCCAAAACCTTCAACAATTCCTTTCAAAAATTACTGATTAAGAGGAGAACTCTATCACTAATGATTTTGATGGGAATCCCATGTAATTTGTACACATTATCAAGGAATTGTTGTGCCAAAGTAGATGCTATAAAAGGATGAGATAAAGGTAAGAAGTGTGCATATTTACTTAATCGATCAACAATTACCCAAATTGTATCTTTCCCATTTGACTTGGTGTGGAAATCCCATTAATTGTGTAAATAGTAAATAGGCTTGATTTGTTTTTTATTATTATCCCTTCTTCTTCGCCTCTGACTATGAGAATTAATGCTGATTATTCCTTACCTAGTCATAGGCTAGAAATCAAGGATTAGATTAGCCTAGCACTGTGTATATATTGTAAATCATGTTCATGTTTAGATATACAATTGAAGCATTTCAGTCGACTCTCTTTCACATGGTATCAGAGCTTGAAGGAGAGATCGAAAACGTATCTGATTCGGAAACGGAGATGGAACCGACTGGAGCAGTACGCGACACCCAGACACGATCTGTGACTGACTCGAGAGGCTCCGATAGCATGATTCCAAATCAGAAAGAAGGAACGAACCACTTGCGAGTGACTCTGGGGGGTTCGACAGTCTGATTTCGAGCCAAAAGGGGGGACAGTACGCATCGATGCCGAGCTTAGAGGGCTCAAACGTCCTCATCGTCTCCGAAAAACTGACCGGAGACAATTATCGGGAGTGGGCACAGACGATGAAGCTCTCTATCGAAGGTCGTGGACGACTAGGCTTCCTCAATGGCGATTCTGTAATTCCAAATGGCTCAAATCTGAAAGCCCTTCGCTTCTGGAAAAATGAAAACTCGATGGTGGCTTCCTGGCTCATTAGTGCGATGACTCCAGCAATAAAAAGGAGCTTTATGTCTCTACCTACTGCAAGAGAGATATGGGAGGCTGTACGAGAGGCATATTCTGATGGAGAAAATGTTTCTCAAATGTTTGAAATTAGAACTAAATTGTGGCACATGAGACAAGGTTCTCGTAACCTTAATGACTATTATCTTGAAATGACTGCTCTTTGGCAAGAATTGGATCTAATTAATGAAGATGCCCGGAAGTGTGCTGAGGATGCTGCCCAGTTTAAAAAACGCATTGACAAAGAAAGGCTATTTGAGTTTCTAGCCGGACTCAATCCAGAACTTGATGCGGTAAGGGGGAGGATCCTGAGTCTCATACCATTACCATCTATTCGTGAAGCATTTGTTGAAGTAAGACGTGAAGATGCACGTCGGCGTGTTATGCTGAAAATTGATGCCAAGGGGACCACTACCTGAACCATCAGCACTTGTCACTAGAAGTGCAGATCCAAGAGGCCAGAAGAATAGACCCACCTGTGAACACTGTAAAAAGACAGGTCACACTAAAGATACTTGTTGGGATATTCATGGCAAACCCCCAGACTGGAAACCAAAGAAGCCAAGGGGTTGTGGTTATCACACTGGCATAGAAAAGAGTGATGATAGGCCCACAACACCTCAAATACATCCAGCCACCCAGCAGTTCCCTCCTGAACAGTTTGCTAAATTCATGAAATTTCTTAATACCCTCCACATGCTTGGCACAAAACAGCCAACAGCCACGGTAGTCCACAAAGGTAACTTCCTACAAGCCTTACATGTCATTTAACATCTGTGTATTGAAAATCCCTGGATTGTAGACTCAGGTGCTTCTAATCACATGATGGATAATCGAGAATTATTCTCCACATATACTCCATATGGTGGCTCCCTTAAGGTTAAAATTGCTGACGCTACAGTATCCCCAGTCGTTGGTGCTGGAGACATAAAAGTTTCCGATAAGCTGTTTCTTCATTCTGTTCTTCATGTTCCAAAATTGAAGTGTAATCTGTTATCTGTGCAAAAATTGACCAAGGATAAACATTGTCATGCTGACTTCTTTCCTAACTATTGTATGTTTCAGGAAATGTCAACGGGGATGATGATTGGCAGTGCTAGAGAATTTGATGGTCTTTATTACCTTGATGCATCCTCTAAAGAGTATGGTAGCGTTTGCAATAAAGTTTCCTTTCCTAAGGATAGTAGTATTTTGTTATGGCACCAACGTCTTGGTCATCCCAATTTTTAGTATTTGAGTCAAATGTTCCCTTCTCTTAATTCTAATAAAAATGTTTTCAAGTTTTATTGTGATGTTTGTGAACTTGCAAAGCACCATAGAACCGCTTTTTCTCGCAATATTTACCAACCTTCCCAACCGTTCACCACTATTCACAGTGACCTTTGGGGACCTAGCCGAACTACCAACAGAACACATAAAAAATGGTTTATAACATTTATCGATGATCACACCCGTGTTTGCTGGACCTCTCTCCTTAAAGACAAAACTGATGTTGTCCCTGTATTCTTCAACTTTTACAAAATGATTCAAACCCAGTTTCACACCTCTATTAAAATCCTACATACCGATAACGGTACTGAGTTTATCAATAACTCTTTAGGCAATTTCTTACAGCACCATGGAATTGTTCATAAAAATACTTGTGCTTATAGCCCCCAACAGAATGGCATAGCTAAAAGAAAAAACCGGCACATTTTAGAGGTTGCTAGAGCCCTTCTTCTTACCCATAATGTACCCAAATTTTATTGGGGTGATGCCATCCTTATCGCCACCCATCTCATTAATCGAATGCCTAGCCGAATCCTATCTTTTAAAACCCCACTTGAGGTTCTTCACACCACCCATCTTATTCCTCACCTTGAAAATAACCTTCCACTGCGTGTTTTTGGGTGTATTGTCTTTGTTCACATCCCTCATAATAGTAAACTTGACCCCCGTGCCGTTAAATGTATTTTTCTTGGATATTCTGCTTCCCAAAAAGGGTACAAGTGTTATGATCCTCTTACACAGAAATTCTTTGTTAGCTGTGATGTCACCTTCCATGAAGATGAATCCTTTTATCCAAAGTCTCCAACTCAGGGGGAGAGTGTGAGTGACTTGGAGCCTTCCTTAGAATCCTCTTTCCAACTTGAATTAGAATTACCCGATAAGTATGAACCTCCATTAGAACTTCCATTTAAAGTTGGTGAGTCAACAATTGAACCTGAACTAGATAATGTACCTACCACCGAGGGGGATCCTAACAAGGGGGAGAGAACAAACACTGATAAATTCTATGATCGGTTCTATGTTCGGAGGAAAACATCAAGGAACCAGACCCAAGTTCTTGAAGCTGACCATGATTCTGAACCAATGACAAATCCTGAATCTCAAGAAGATAGTACTGACTGTGATTAGCCAGGAGGAGTAGAAGAAGATTTGGATCTTCCCATTGCACTTCGGAAGAAACCCAGATGCTGCACTAAACACCCAATAGACAAGTTTGTCTCTTATAAAGCTCTCTCACCTCGATTTCAAGCCTTCACAACCAATCTGGATAGCATTACAATCCCAACATGCATTGAAGAAGCACTACAGTCCCCAGATTGGAAAAACGCTGTTATGGAAGAAATGAATGCTCTCAAGCTAAATGGTACATGGGAAGAGGTTGAGATACCACAAGGAAAGAAAGCTGTAGGTTGCAAATGGGTATTCACAGTGAAGTACAAAGCAGATGGTACTGTTGAAAAGTTCAAGGCCCGTCTTGTGGCAAAAGATTTTTCCCAAATCTATGGAACTGATTATACAGAGACATTTGCACCAGTTGCTAAGCTCAACACAGTAAGAATTCTTATGTCCCTGGCTGCAAACCTTGATTGGCCATTGTATCAGTTAGATGTAAAGAATGCATTCCTAAATGGAGACTTAAAGGAAGAAGTGTACATGACGCCACCACCTGGATTCCCTGCCCAGGAAAGGAACCTAGTTTGTAAATTAAAAAAATCCTTATATGGATTAAAACAGTCACCTCGTGCATGGTTCGAAAGGTTCACACAGGTTCTAAGAAAGGAAGGGTTCACTCAAGGGCAGAGTGATCATACATTGTTCTTCAAGCACAGGGAAGGAAAGAAAACCATTCTGAGCATATATGTGGATGATATCATCCTCATAGGGGATGACCATAAAGAGATGGAAAAGATTAAAAAGGCATTGGCCAAATCCTTCCAAGTCAAAGACTTAGGGGATTTATATATCCTGGAGAAAATGCATTCTCGATTGCTAAAAGAGACAGGAATGTTAGGGTGCAAGCCTAGTACGACACCTATTGAAGTAACATCAAAAAGGAAGAAGATAAAAAAAGATGAGAGAAGAAGAAGAAGAAGAAGAAGAAGATGAGGAGGAAGAAGAAAATGAAGGGAAAGATGTTGACAAAGGAAGATACCAAAGATTAGTTGGGAAACTTGTCTATCTTTCCCATACTAGACCAGATATTGCATTTGCAGTAAGTGTAGCAAGCCAACATTCTCATTCTCCTAAAGAGAAACATCTAAAGGCAGTTTACAAGATTATACGATACTTGAAGGGCACACCTGGAATGGGAATATTATATTGAAAGACAGAGAAGAAAAATGTAGAGATATTTCACAGATGCAGACTGGGTAAGCGCCCATAATAATAGAAGATCAACATCAGGATATTGCACATATGTGTGGGGAAACCTAGTGACATGGAGGAGTAAGAAGCAAAACGTTGTTGCAAGGAGCAGTGCGGAAGCTGAATTTCGAGCAATAGCTCATGGTATATGTGAAGAGATATGGGTAAAACGGGTATTAGAAGAATTGAGGATTGAGTTAGAACTTCCAATGAAGCTGTACACTGATAGCAAAGTTGCTATAGACATCTCACATAACCTAGTTCATCATGACAGAACCAAGCATGTTGAGGTTGATAGACGCTTTATCAAAGAAAAGATTGAAGGGGGCCTTGTGTCACTCATACATGTGCCGTCACGGAATCAAACCACAGATATCTTCACCAAAGGCTTGAACGAGGAGATGTTTGAAAAGTTTGTAGGCAAGTTGGAAATGATTGATATATATAGTCCAACTTGAGGGGGAGTGTGGAAATCTCATTAATTGTGTAAATCGTAAATAGGCTTGATTTTTTTTTATTATTACCCCTTCTTCTTCGCCTATGACCATGAGAATTAATGCTGATTATTCCTTACCTAGTCATAGGCTAGAAATCAGGGATTAGATTAACCTAGCACTGTGTATATATTGTAAATCGCATTTTCATGTTTAGATATACAATTGAAGCATTTCAGTCGACTCTCTCTCACACTTCGGCAATCCTTCAATGAAATCCATAGTCTCCCAAGCTTTACTTGGGATAGGTAGAGGCTGTAGTAGTCCAAGATAAGCTACTGATTCAAATTTACACCGAACATATGTATCACAATGCCTCACAAATTCTTTGACATCCTCAACTAATTTTTGCTATTGAAATAACTTCTTAACTCTTTGATAGGTAGCTTGCACACCAGAATGCTCTTCTTGTGGACTAGTATGAAGCCATTCCAAAATTTTATGCCTCACACCAGGAGTATTTCCCACTACTAATCTGCCATTTTTCCTTCAAAACTGACCATCCCAATTATATTTTCCTTTTGCATCCCCTTGCTGTTGCAAATAAGCCTTTAAAGCTCTTAAATCCACATCATCATCCCAACTCTTCTGAATTTCCAGAAAAAGAAAATCTGAACAAGTATGAAGAGACACTTGAAATACCTCATTTTTAGGCATCCTTGAAAGAGCATCAGCAACATTATTGTCATTGCCCTTTTTGCAGTGAATTTCATAATCATATCCCATGAGTTTGGTCACCCAATATATTTAGAATGAGTGTAGTGAATTTGGAATTGCTTCCCTTCAAGGTATTGGTGCTGGTGCTCCACAATTTGCACCACCCTTATTAACTCCTTCTTATAAATAGAAAGATTCAAGTGTCTAGGAGGAAAAGCCTTGCTGAAAAAGGCTATGGGTTAACCTTGTTGCATCAGAAGAGCACCAATTCCAAAGTTACAAACATCAGTTTCAACTTCAAACATTTTAGAGAAATCTGGAAGAGCATGACTGGGGGCTGTAACTAGAGTTCCTTCAATTTTCTGAATGTGGCAGCAGCTTCTTCTGACCAATGAAAATTATTTTTCTTTAATAAGTCAGTGAGAGGTCTGGTCAGGGATCCATAGCCCCTAATAAACCTCCTATAATAGCTCGAGAGCCCCAAAAATGATCACAGTTGCTTCACAGTGGTTGGTACTGGCTATTCCCGTACTGCCTTATTCTTCTTTGGGCCGGTTGAAACCACTCCCCCATTGATAATATGACCCAAATATTCCACTTGAGTAACAGCTAAAGTACACTTGCTTACCTTCACAAAAAAAAAAAAAAAAATTCCTCAGAATTTCCAGAACTACATGCAAATGATAAACATGAGTTTTAAGCAAGGGCTATAAATCAAAATATCATCCAAAAAAACCTAGCACAAATTTTCTTAAATAGTCCCTGAAAACACTGTTCATTGCACCCTGAAAAGTTGCAGGTGCATTAGTGAACCCAAAAGACATCAGTGATCACTCATAATGGCCTGAATGAGTTTGGAAGGCTGTTTGACAAAGCTGCATCAGATCTTCCATTGGGACTTCATAAGTGGGTCCAAATTGAGACTTTGACTCTTCTACATATTTTGGCCACATCCACTTACTCCCTTCATCTGATAATGCGAGGGCCTAATGCCATTGCCAAACTTTTTTGTCTAGATGCAAGCTGGCCACGAGAACCTTCCAATCCTTAGGTGTGTTGTCGAGTTGAAAATTAAATTCACATTTTAGGATCCAACCCAAGATATTATTTCTTTGAAATTGGGGAAACTCCATCTCGGTGAAACGTGTTTGAGGTTGGTATTTGTTTGCCTCTTGTCAAGGTTGGTCATGGTGGGTATTATTGCTCGCATGCCCCCCTTGAGGAGATTGATTGTGATCGTGAACCATCTAGGTGAGTTAGTTGGTGAGTACTTGGACAGTGCCAGAAAGGCTAGCAAGTTTGGAAAAGGCATCTTTAAATGCATGAAGCTTATCATTACTGTTGTTGATCATAACTCTGTTGTTTTTGCAATCTTGTTTTTGGCATACAAGCCTAGCATCAATGGCTCTAATATCACTAATGTGTAGAATAGAGAAGAATAGAGGGATAAAGAAGAGTTTTTGAATAGCACTCAAGATTTCATTGTGTATAAGAGAGAATAAGGTACACTCAAACCCCTTTATATAGGTAGCCAACCGAAACTAACTAACTAACGGTGGTTCTTATATTCATTCTAATTGTTCTAATTACATACCGTTCTCCCTTCTGTTTAATTTGTTGAAGAAGCATATCTTTGGTAGCATCTCAAGAGCCTTCACTGGCCAAGCCAGCAAACATTCAAACTTGCATGACAAGTACTTGTAAACATTAAATTGGAAAAGGAGGTTTTTTTTCTTTCTTTGAAACTACTTTCTTATGTGTTTTCCCTTCTTTTCTTTGAAATTACTTTCTTACACTTTCTGTATGATCTAAATTTTTCTTCATGTAAAAATTGTTGGATATTTGGATTGCCTATTTCTTACATTCTGACTGACAACTGAGGAGTAAATTCCTGTTCTGCGGCTTCTGATATAGGTTCTAGCAGTATATATGGTGCATGGAGGATTGATGATATAGACAACAGTTTCTCAACGCGGCCCTTTCAGATAAAATATGCTAGGCAGGACATTCATTTATGCACGATGATAACATTCAGATTTCTACTTGATAGATTCGAGGTAGGAATCACTCTATTGTTTTCTGCTCTTTGTTGGAGTATAAAGTGAAAAAGAAGCCTTGTGAGATTACTGTTGTATTTGGATACCCTGTAACCTGTTAGGATGATTGCTTAGTCCATATTATCAATAAGGACGGTATCTACATTTCATATTAGGCTTACATTCATTTACTTTCAGGTGTAGACAAGAAAATAACTTGAAAACAGTGCAGAATCAAGATAACTAATTTTTGAAAAATTATATAGCATTTTACCATTATTTTTCCCATCCCTCTCTTTGAAATTAACCATTCTTGTAGCATTGAACTCTATTGTCTCTTAATCACAGGGCTTACCTACAACTGCTGTTATTATGAAATTTGAGCTCATGTATGCTCCTACAGTTCAAAATGGGTAAGTGCTAAAATGAGCATATTCGTTGGCCAATTAATATAAACCAAAGCAAGCTTGTCCTTTTTGTTTGATATCTCTTTATTGAAATTGTACACTGATTGGGGTCCACCATCTACAGTTCAAACTTGCAAGCTTTTCTGGATGCATCATCTTGCGCTATCCATGAATTTCGACTTCCCCCTAAATCCCTTTCAGGATTGCATTCATATTGTCCTGTCTATTTCGATGCTTTACATTATGTGCTCGTTGATATAACTGTGCACGTCAGTATATTAAGAGCCACTTCTTACCATTCTGCATTGAAGGTACCCAGGTTTGTCTTATGTTCTAAATTTTTGTGTAAATCAGTTTAACTTTTAATTCACGATCATTATTTTCATTCAATTCCCTTTTAGAGCAAGTGGCTGAAAAAAATCCCGTTTTTAGAAGATTTGATCACAATTGTTTTCTTTTGCATGTTTGGTTTACATATGGTCACTTGTTTGTCTTAAACGAATTCAGCAATTTTGGCATCAATGAAGCTGTTGTTGATCAAGGTTATGGCATGTTGAATCGAGTATGTTATAGACATGGGATATCTCTTTTTGGAAACCATTTTTCATTGAGGTGGCTTTGTTCAAAATAGATATTGAAAGCTTCTTCTCCCCTTAGTTTGATGGTTTTTTTCCTTGGCCTCTTTATTGCCTGTACAAGGTTTCTACTATAATACTTGTTGCTTCTGGGTATATTTTTGCACCTCTACACAATCACTGTCAATGCAATCACCTTTCGAGAAATGGAAAGTTTATATCTTCTCAAGTGCACCTCCGTACATTCATGTGCTTTTGCACTGCATGTGGATTACAGTTTTATAATTTATACTTCTTTCTTTTCAAGTTACACCTTGAGCTCTGTAGGAACCTATTTAACCTGAAGGTCAAAATATGCTTTCTAACTGGTCGATCATGTCATAATTTAATGTAATAATGATTTTTCAGTTAGACTAGCTTTTTGTTAAAGTAAAAATAGCAGCAGAGGAAAAATTAAGCCAATAATATAGAGAGACAATTAATGTGAGGATGAGAATGAAAGGAACTTTTGGTAAATGCTACTTAAAAGGTCTCGATTTTAGATGGTTTTGTGCATTTTTTGCTGTTAACTATTGATGAGTACCTAAGTGAGATGAGGAACCCTACCTAAAAAGTTAGATGTTAAGGTGGGAAAACCAATCGACTTAAATACCCTATTAAGCGTTACATATTACTCAATGTGGGACTTGGTATCCTATACTATCAGGTCTCCATCAATTGGCTTCCCATGGAAAGCTGGCATCCCAATGGCTACACTCCATAACACTTAACCTGACCTCTTACTGGTTAGAGTCCTTTATAGGTAGTGTTTCTTAGAACTACCAACAACCAAACTCTAATACCAATTGATGGGTATCTAGGTAGGATGGGAAACTCTATACCAAAATCTAGCTGTTGAGGTCAAAGAACCAACTCACTTAAATACCTCATTGACCATATGAGATGTGGGATTTGATGTTCCATACTACTAAGTATCCATCAAATATCTTTATGCCAATAATGATTAATTTTAAGTCAGCCCCTACACACTAATAAAAGCTCTTGCTGGCACTGAAAATTGGGTAGAATTTATTCAAAATTGTTTGACGACTGATTCCATGTTGTTTTAGTATTATATTATATGAATAGGGCCAATGTCAGTGTGGATTCTTTTTCATCTTGATAAAAATTTTGTTTATTGCTTTATTTCTTCAGGCATTCTTCGTGCATTAACATAATGGTTTATGTCACTGAACAGGAATTGGATGATGTTGTAGACGTGAAAGATGTCATACGCACTAAGGCATTGCTAACTGCTCATGATATATTGCTTGAAGAACTGTTAAAGCTTAGTAAAGCAATTGATCTAACAATTGATATTTCAGAGTTGGTGTCAAAAGGGAACAATGTGGAGTTTTTAAATTATGTTCCACGAGCAAGTCAGGTTGCTTCCAATGTTGAAGTTTCAGTACAAGGCAAGCCACAAAATGGTCTTGAGGTCCTTACTTACATTTCTTGTTGCAGAGAATGCTTGTTCTTTTTCTTCCATTTTTTTTTGTTTTTTGGTTTTTGCATGCGCATCATCTTTATGGTTTCATGTTTGCTTATCATTTCTGCTCTTCTTTTATAGGGGCTTAATGGTGCTCTGGATTTTCAGAATGTTGAAAAGCTTCATTCCTTCTCAAAGAGTGAAATGTTGGACTGTTTTAATTCTCTGGGAGATCAAATGCTGTACTTATGGAACAATTTTTTAAAGTTCCATAGGTTCACTCTTTATCTTGTATCATTACAATTTCAGCAAGACTAGTGGTTCTCTAAATCTGACATCTGAATCTGATTTGTGCTCTAGCTTTTTGAGCTTCACGTTTTAACTAAATTTAAGGAAAAAAATATAGATTTTCTTGCTAGGCTCTGTCTCTTTTACCATTTAATAAGCAAGCATATACAACTTCATTTAGGAACCTTATCTAGTTATTACTGGAACAGTTTATACTTTCTGGGGATTGACAAAACCCCAACAATCTGCATCTTTTTTGTGGCTGGTTTCAAAAGATGTTTCCATAGGAATGCTTTTAATAACAACATCCATCCATCCCCATGCTGACATGCAGCTGCTAGAGCATATATAGTGAAAGTCGATGTTAGCTTGCTCAATTGATTGTTTTTAACTTGTTCCTAGGGACAACAAAACAAAAGTTCTAGACTTTTTACGTGATGCTTGGGCTGAGGATCGGAAAGCTGAGTGGTCAATATGGATGTTACACTCTAAGGTAGAGATGCCTCATCATTACATAAAATGTGAGAGTCATGGGTCTTCCACCAAACCTAAGCATAGAAGAGTTTCCAGTTCACTAAAGGTATCTGATGAGGTAAGCACCAGTAGTTTTATGACATGTTTACTCTTCATAGGAGGAAAAGGGAAGGAGGGAAGAGTGGGCCTTAAGGTAGAACAAGGTAAAATCCTTATATTTTTCTGTGTTTTGTACAGCCTCCTCAGACTGCAGCAACACGTGCTGAACTTCATCGAAGGAGCATCACACAAATGAGGGTAAGTTATCACCTTATATATGTTGACTACAGATATCCTGATTTTTATTTACATATGGGCTGTTGATTTGTTAACCTTTCCCTGCAGATCAACAATCGGTCAATTCAAGACATGCAGGTATTTGGAGATCCTTCACGCATGCCTATTGTTGTTGTTGAACGTGTGATGAATGCACCACGACGTACTATCAGTGATAATTCATATATGAAACATATTGAGCTTATGGAATCACATAGCCTACAAACACAGTTCAACTCTGCTACAGTAGATAACCAATTGATGTCAAAAGTTGATGCTTTTACACTGAAGATTGTTGTCTTCGTACATGGGTTTCAGGCAAGTTTGTGCTCTCAATTTTGCAAAAAATTATCCGGCTTTTTTTTGGTTATGACTCAAGATTGTTTGTCCTATCTGCTTGTTTTAGAGAGCTCAGAGTAGTTCAAGTCTAATACTTTATTACAAATTCAAGTTCATGGGCAGGATTCTCAAATCTGACAAATTTGTAGAGAACCTGGGATTTTTATAATATAAGCACGGTTGTTCATGATAATGACTGGCTCTCTTAGAAGGAGTGTGAACTTTCAAGTGAAAATAACAAAACTATAAAATGAAAAAAAAAAACTATTATTTAGAATTGCTTGTATATTTAATTATTTATAATATTGGCAAATAAAAATATAGTATTAAAATGCGAAAGGTTGTAATATTGTAGGGGCATCATCTGGATCTACAACTTGTCCGAAATCAATGGCTTTTAATAGATCCCAACATAGAATTTCTCATGTCTGAGGCTAACGAAGATAAAACTTCTGGAGACTTGAGAGAAATGGGCCAAAGGCTAGCTCAGGAAGTTATTTCATTTCTTAAAAGGAGGATGGACAAAGCATCTAGATCTGGACACTTGGGAGATATTAGAATAAGTTTTGTTGGGCATTCTATCGGTAATCTCATTATAAGAACGACAATAGCAGGTAGGTCATAGATTTACATGTGATACCGTGCTCAAGTTTAAATTTTTGTTGCTAATTTAATTCCTTATAGATAGCATCATGGAGCCATATCTAGGATACCTACATACATATGTTTCTTTATCTGGTCCACACTTGGGGTATCTTTATAATTCAAGCTCCACATTTAATTCGGGATTGTGGCTTTTGAAGAGACTGACAGACATACGGTGCATTCATCAGCTCACTTTCACAGATGATCCAGATATCCAGAAGACGTTCCTTTATAACCTATGTAAGGTATGGAAGGTCTTTACAGAGATTAAGGATCGAATGACATTGGCTTGAGAATATATCATGTCTGACTTTGCTTACCAAGCTTCTATGAAAAATAAGTTATTAATTATTATATCACATATCTCATTTAAATGTTTATAGTTAATAACTAGTTATTGAATCTCTTCTTTGTTTTGGAGTGGGGGTTCTTTAGGAATATCTCCTTCAAAGTTAATTTTTTTTATAGGATTTCCTTTTCTTTGTAAATGCACTAATACTTTAAGGTGGAAAAAGAATACAACTCCTTGACATCGGGACTTGGGCAAACAGCCCCCTGAACCTAAAATTTAGCCATCACCCTTCCTTTATACTGTATGAATGTGAAATGTCTCCTTTATACTGTATGAATGTGAAATGTCTCATGAGCTCATTTGTTCAAGCTTTAAAAAAAATCTGATTTTATTCTAATTATCTTCAAAAAGCTTAAACAAACATAAAACATTTTCTTTAAAAAATATTTTTTTTTATTTTAAAAAGTTTAAACGAATGGGCCCTATATTTTATTTTATTTCTAATTTTCTAAAATGTAAATTTGCTTGTTTAGGAATTAATGTGTGGATTTTTTTGTTGAAAAATAAGCGCCATGTGATAATGAAGTTGATTTTTTTATATATAAAATTTAAGTAATTTGAGTCTGGAAGCTCACACTAAGATGCTAAAAAGGTCATTTCATAATGTGGCGATGCCAAATGTAAATATGGCCGATCTTTTGACGTGGTGCCAATACAGAGTGTTCTGCTCTGGATGAATTGATCTTATCCTATGCAATCACTTCGTTTTATTTTCTAATGCAGTTCCTCCTGCCACTTTTCTTTTGTTTTTTTTTTTCAGCTGAAGACCTTGTACCATTTCAAGCATATTATATTGGTTTCTTCCCCTCAGGTATTTTCTTGCGTCGTGATTATTCATACTACGTTGGGAATGTCTTATTTGTTGGGTCATGATGTATTAGTTTATTACGATCATGATTAGTGAATGGGTTTTGAGTTAAACTGGAACTTATTTTATGGATTCCGTTATTTATCAATGCATGTGAATCATACTTTTGTATGGGCATAAAATTGTTAATTTTAGGAGTCGTGTGTTCTTCGTCCTTCTAATTACAAATAGCATTGAAATAGGCTTCTCAAAGTCACTTCTGTACTAAAATAAAAGAAAATTTCAATTTTGGAAGCCTTGCTAAATACTGGCTGATGAACTGGCTTGTCTTATAGAATTTGCAGCTTTATGTCATGACGGTATGCTTGCTTTCAGTTTGACTGGGAATTTCGTTTTGTGGGGTTTCTTGTTCACTGGTGATGAACTGTTCAGGATGGTTATGTGCCGTACCACTCTGCTAGGATTGAATCATGTCAGGCGGCTGTACATGACACTTCAAAGAGGGGAAGAGTGTTCTTGGAGATGTTGAACAATTTGTTGGACCAAATCCGTGCCAATTCCTCCCAACATCGGGTGTTCATGCGTTGTGATGTCAATTTTGATACCGCTGCCTTTGGCAAGAATTTTGACTCCTTCATTGGCAGGGCCGCCCATGTTGAATTTCTTGAGTCTGACATTTATGCCAGGTTCATCATGTGGTCTTTTCCACAGTTCTTTCGGTAACAATTCTCCACTTTTTGCCTTCTCTTAACTCTTCAGGGGTCATCTCAAAATGGTCTCGGGGCCTTAAAACCAATGCATCAGTTTGCAGTGCACTTGTAGCTATAGACATCCGATCTGTATTCCTTATTCATGTTGTAAATTTCTACCGAATTGTATGCATGTTATTTTAGTGACGTTATCATGGTAGGTTACACAGTTCATATCAGATGTCCTTTACTGGGATTGGGAACGGAATTAGCACACGACTGGAAGTCACTTGTTGTTTCCCTCTTTGTATGGCTTCATTTTGCTTTCTTTCTCCAAAGGAACCGGACTACACTAGTTTTTCCTTCGTCAATTACTTTTTCCCCTCGTTCCTCACTGTGATGTGTATGGTGAACAATTTCTCTCCCCACCCAAATTAATGAGACTTCTCAAATGGGGTAAAAGATTTTTCCAGCTCAAGTTGCGAGAGAAAAGTTAAATTGGTAGGCAGGGACGGATGTACAAGGTGAAACATGAAAAGGGCCAATAATGAAAGATTACAAGAAAGCCGGGGTCAAAATTAATTTACACAGTTGTTCCAAATAAAAATAAACAAATTTTCGGAGAGAATTTATATCATGGGAGGAAACACCCTGCTTGCTGCTTTGTATCCATCATGGTGGTAGGTAATATTTTTATTAGCTTCCTTGACTTACAAATTAGCCATACTAATATAGAATTGTTATATAATGATATGGTAGGAGATAGATAGGGGAGAAAAAAAAATAGAAAAATAGGAAAGGAAGATGAAGGACGAGAGAGAAAAAGGAAATAAAGGGACAGGATAGCTCTGAATATATTTCTGGGGTTTTTCACATTAAGCATAATATCTGACTTTGCTAGATCTTATATAGGCCCTTAACAGCAAATCCTAATAATTAACTATCTAACTAACTAAAACTATTGTTCTTTATTTATTTATTCTTTTACATATCAATACCTTCCCCTAAAAAGCCCTTGACCTCAAGGATGCAACAATTAGAACCCTTCAATGAAAATAACTAAAAAAACAAATAGAATGAGCAAACTAGCAACTTGCATGTGGAGAAAACTCCTTCCCACCGCCAAAAGATCTCTCTCTTATTATTGCCTGGTATCTTCAATTTCTTCTATATCACAGGTGGAAGCATGGTGGGCCCATAACTCACAAGTCTAAGGATTGAAATTTAGTTTTGATACCACTAATATGGTAAAAAGAGATTAAGAGAGAAGAAAAAGAGAGAAACATAATATAACAGAGGAGAAATAGGAAACAAAGAAAATGAAATAAAGATAGAAACAAGACTAAATATATTTTTGGTTTCACATTATGCATAATATCTAACTTATATCGGATCTTATATAGACCCTTAAAGAATGGCTTGTGACAATAGAAACAAAGATTCATTGACCAAAGATTAACCTCTTCTTGGTTTAATTTCCTTAATATTTTTGAATTAGGGTTTGAAGAAGAACTTGCAATCGACAAAGCAAAGAAAGTAAATCCATTCGTCGATGAAAAGGAATGGTACTTTGGTGAAAGATCAATCTTACCCTTAATAAAATGGGAACCATTACCTCTTGCTACTGTTTTCACATCTCTCCCTTTACTCAATACATGCGATGTGTTAAGAGAAAGGCAAGGAAGACCATACCAATGCAATCTATCCTTTTTACTCTTGTCAAGCACATTAAATTCTTTGCTTAACTTCTGAACGTGAATTTCTTGTAAATGAGCTAAGCTTATAGCGTTTTGTAGTGTAGTGGTCTTTAATAACCTAATGAGCCTAGCAAGCTTATGTTGTAAGCCCTCAAGTTAAGTCTACACTAAATAGTCTTTTGTTAGGTCAAGATTGCAAACAATTTCATTGACTAAGTTGTTGTAGTAATCCAAAGTCCCTATTTGTCATAGACGCATCAATTTGGCAATAAGAGCCTTAAAGGTAGGTCCAAAACTTTTCTTTATGCCTTCTACATAGTCCTGCCATCTCACTTATTTATCGAGGGTCTCGAACTTAACTAGTCTCCATCAATTCATGATGAGATTAGATTAGGGAAACGACACCTCATGGTTATTAGTATTGGAAAAAACTGTGACTCAAAAGTAAGTGAAGTAATCTTGGCTAGGCAGCTTCTCACAAGCAGAAGGCTTAGGTAATCTAATGACAAGGACAAATCCCACTAAATAGCCACTGATTTTATATTAAAAGTATTAAGAGGGTATAAAGTTAACATTAATCATGCATATCATTATATGACCACATGGTTGTTATTTTTGTAGTTTTGCACGTTTTATAAAGGGCACATTGTTTGTTAGTGTTGTGACCCTTGCATGTTAAATATTCTAATATTACATGATTGTTGATTTTTTGAATATACAAATTGGATGGTTTAATATGTGAATATGTTTAATTTGAATATATCATTTTCATAAGTATGATTAAATTAACTTGCATTTATATAGGCTAGATTAATCTTGGTTACTAAGTGGTTATATTTACTCTCTCTCTCTCTCTCTCTCTTTTAATATTACAAGTGCTAATTCATTAAGATAGGATCAAGGAAAATAGTTAGAGGCATAGGATTTTTATCCTAAATTTACAGGCCTCGTTTATTTAAAAGTTGATGTGTATAATTTATCTTGATAATGTCAACTAGAAGATTGTATATTTTTGCTTACTTACACTATTTAATTCCTAATCTAAGTTGTGTATGTTGGGCCTTAGGTTGTATGTGAATCAAATATGAAATCTAAATAAGTCAAAATACTTGTATAAGTAAGGAGTGAATATATTTGTGAATGATGGTGATTTAAATGTGGAATTACATGATTGATACTCCCTTTATCATTTTTGAAATTAAAGGGTTGAGTATTAAAAATGTGTTGTGGATGATATTGAAATGTTGTAGTGTGTTACATAGATTTTATTAAGTGTGGTTTAGGGTTGGTTGAGCTTATGACACTTGGTTGTAATTTTTGACACCCTAGTTATCTTTTGAAAACAAAAATGAGTGAATTTTTATTTTGGTGTTCAACTTTTCATTGAGAAATGATTTGAATGTAAAACCAATATTATTAGCTAGAGTTTGGAGAAAGCTTTCTATTGACACTTAGATTACCTCAATTAAACATTGCATAAAGAAATGAGATGCGCTAGAAGTTTGGCCAAAAAATCTCCTATGACAGCTTTCATGGATTCTGCATTTTACACCACTTATGCCACTACATATTGTGCTAGAATCATTGTTTTTACTCTTTTGACACTAATTTGATGTTATCATATCTTGTATGATGTTTATGCTTTGGTATATATGTTTTACTCTGATTTTAATTTATGAAATGATTTTATAACATTTTAAGTGTTAAAAACTTGAGATCTCATTTATATAAATTTTATAAACTTGGTAATCCATTTATATCAATCTCATGATTACCTCAATTTTGAAATTAATTGTGGATTAATGAGGATGTCCTTAGAAGGCTTACCCTTAACAAGATGAGACCTATTCCCCCTAGCTACTATTTTCACATCTGTCCCTTTACTTGATATATGTAATATGTTAGGAGAAGGGTAGAGATGGCCAAACCAAGTTGATTTTCCCCCTTACCTTCATCGAGCAAGTTAAACTCTTCACCTAACTTCTCGATGTGAATTTCTTGTAAATGAGCTAGACTTAAAGCAATTTGTAGTATGGTCAGCTTTAATAACCTAAAAAACCAAGCGAGGTTTTCTTATAGGCCCTCAAGATAAGTCTGCACCAAGTAGTCTTCTGATAAGTCAAGCTTGCACGTGATCTCATTGAATGAGTCGTCATGGTTGGCTAGCAATCCTGTTTGTTGTAAATGCATCAATTCAACCATGGGAGCCTTATAGGGAGGTCTAAACCTTTTCTGTATGTCTTCTACATAGTTTGTCCATCCCATCACGTGTCCCTTTCTTCACACATAAGTGCTTGATGCCATGAGAAGGCTTTCTCATCCAAGTAAATACTGGCCATCATGACCTTTCATGCTTTAAGGGTGTCACTGATCTAAAAATATTGCTCACACTTAAGTAGAAGATAGAAAATAGAGGAAAATAGGTAAGGAAGATGAGGGATGAGAGAGAAAAGAGAGAAAAAGGAAACAAAAGTAGAAAGAGAATTGAATATATTTCTAGATTTTTCAAAGTAAACATAATATCTTACTTATATTGAACATTATATAGACCCTTATCAACAAGTCCTAACAACTAACTATCTAACTAGAACTATTATTCTTTATTTATTTATTCTTTACGTATTATATAATCTCAATGTATTTACTTGTATATTAAGTAGTACTAAAGGTCAATTGTGCTGGACTCCAAAGTCAATGTTGATCTGGATTTCTTGCTTTGCTATTGCAATTATATAACAATGCGCTTGAGCTCAGGTGACTAATATCATGGGATTTTGCCTACTATTTTCAATAGGGAGTTTTAGTGTATTCCTGTGTGGCAGTTTTACAGCCATATAATCTAGAACATTTAAGTGATAAAACTAGCTCTTTTCCACATCATTAGTTTCACCCTACAAAGTACATGGGGCATACAGTAGAAAAGTGCCCCAACGGCCAACTTTCATTGAATCATACTGAGATGTTGAATAGAATAATCTTGAATAATTAAAATAGAGATATAGAATTCTTTATCAAAAAAGAAAATTGAGATGTTGAATAGAATAATTAAAATAGAGATGTAGAATTTTTTATCAAAAAAAAAATTGAGATGTTGAATAGAATAATCTCGTCCAAAGGATTAGACACTGCTGGGACCTTGTGTTTTTGTGGCCTAAATGTTCGAGAAAATGATGACCCACCTAGCTAGCAGATATCAATTAATCAAGCATTGAGACGGGGCAGTGCTATGATTCAATCACCGAATTACCTGAGGAGCGTGAAATGATTTTTGCTTCTGAAACAAAATAATCAATCAACAGATTGATTAAAGAATTAAAGGCGATGAAGCACTTCGCTTTCCTCAACAAAGGAGCCGAATCTACCACTCTCCGTTAACAGAATCAAACCGAGGCATCAAAGAGCCAGCTAGATTATTAACTTTGGTTCGAGAGGCTGCACATACTGACGATGAGGATCATAAAGTACAAAAGATGATATCTGTTTCTTAGCACTGTTCCCTAACATTCATCTCCACCACCATTCTCTCTCTCAGCAGTCTGCATTTTCCAAAATACCAAGGTCCTCAGGAGCCATTCTAAACTCCACTTCCTCCATATCCTCCCAAAACACAAATTCAAGTCTGGCATGCGTGACATCAAACTCGTGATCTTCCAAAAGAAAATTCCACAAAGTTG